ACCAATTTAAATAAATATATAAAGAGAGTTAATGAATTCATTTTGATATTTGGTTAAATAAAACCGCTATATTTCGGACATCAATTTCACACGCTTAATTTGATTAAATTTTATCGACATTTTTTTATTAAAGATTTGTCAGAAAACCGCTATTGACAGCAACAAATAGTTGCTAGAGCTGGTCTGCGGTTTATCTTTCTTTAATTGTCAAGAATATAGAGATTTTTGTTTTATATAATATTTATAATTTGCCAAGAAAAGTAAAAAGGAAATGAAGCTCATTGTTTAGTATTTAAAAAATAGATATTTAAGTAAACATACAGATTGCTTCAAAAGAAATGCGGGAATTCCTTTTTTAAATTAAAAAATGTGCAGGAAGTGTCTTTTTATAATGGAAATCTTTCATAATATTTTATTAATTTATCTATTTTCGTTTTTAAGATAAAAAATAAAAATATAATTTTTCCGCCATATTTATAGCACGATATCTTCCTAATGGTTGACTTTTGACCGTTTATATAATAAACTACTGTATATTTTAAAGAAAGAATACATTTTTTGCATTTGTTTTGATATACCCTGTAGGGTAACTTACGTTAACGTCTACTTAAACATAAACAAAGACTTGCTATAGCTGGTCTATATTTATCGTTCCAAAGTGTGGAGAATATAGATATTATTTTTTATGTAATATTTATAAATTTTTAAAACATGAAAATTCGCAAATATTTTTTTTTGATAATAGAAGAAGAAAACAAAATGAAGTATAAAATATGTCACATAAAACCTTAGGTCATAGATTGAGTTTTGAAAAATAGGTTTTGGTAACTCATTTCAACATAAATTTTTAAATTGATGTTGCAAAATAATTTTGGTGGAATCAATTTGTCGTTTGACAATTTTTTCATTTACTTACGTCAAATTTTGTAAATACTTTTTTGACAGAAAATGGAAAATAATTATCAAATATTTTTGTTTATTAATAATAGTCTCAGGAAGTTTATAGGACAAGAACCATTAATTACACTATCCCAGGCACAGACTGACTATGAGTGACAATAATAGTTTGCCGAACAACCTAAAAACGATTTAAAACTGTTAAAGAAAACAATTCTTAATTTACTCGTAGAAATAGAACCATATAGTCTAGAAGAATACTATAGATTTATTCAAAACATGTAGGACAACCACTGTACTTCAATGTAATTATGCTTGGAAATAAAACTTTGAAAATTATTATTATTATTATTATTATTATTATTATTATTATTATTATTATTATTATTATTATATCGTGTGACATGAAATCTGTCTGTTCGGATCGAATATAAATAATAACAATGGCTTGGAGGATCCAGACAACAATGCAGACGGCAGACAAATCATCTCGACTCCAAAGCCTCAAATTTTCGATGCGCAAGAAGTCATTACGGCGACATGTCGATGAAACGAATGTGACAATATGTTTCAAATGACAGTCAGCTTATAGAAAATACGTTTACAATCCAATCCTCCAGATGAATTAGACGTCCTTCCACGCGATTTCACTTACCTAAGCATGGGAATTTTTTGCCCATGGCAAGGATCGAGGGGGTAGACATAAATCCCCTAGGTTTTAGAAACCGGTTCTTAAAGGATTTGGAGCGAATTGCGTGGGCTTTAAGAGATACCAGATAGAGTTTTTGGAGAGGGATCGACTGAGAAGGCGAGATTACAATACATCGCGGAAATTTAAATAGCTCCTTAATCGCTTCGCTCGTACGAAAGGAAGTGTGTTAAATGTAGTTAAGCAAGTTGAGTTCTCGTTTGCATATTTGACGTTTCGAGTGACGTATAGCAATTTTCATCAACCGTTTTACTAGAAGAGTTTTGGTTTGTATATGGAACGATATGCACAGCAGCATGCTGTACAGCGTGTCTCATAATAATAATAATATTAATAATGCATAAAATAAATTTTTATATATATAAAAAAAATAATTAAGTATTAGTCCAACTGGAGGTGATATAGAGCAGACAAATTATGCTGAAAAAGTCCCTGTAACATAAATATTAGTACTTATGGCACGATTTATTGCTTTAATTTTTTTAGTATTGGTTAGTTTTAGTTTAAAATAGGGATTTATTAGGACGCTTCATTGGCAGTGACTGTGTCTGCCCAATAATTAAATCTCATTCTGTAGTGGTAGTTAGAGATTTGTTGATTTCTATTTTCTACGAACACTGGCACCGGTGTGCGAAATCGGTACGTGATCTTAAGGCATCTATGAAATCTGTTGTGAAAAACAAAACAAAATATGTAATTCTAACTATAATTAGAAAAAAATGTTTTCCGCACAACCCAACATGGGACTCCACGGCTTTAAGGGGCGACCAGGGAGATATCTATATAGATATATGCGTTACAATTTGGCGTTGCCAATGTTGCATTTTGTGATTCTCTCAGAAACAATTGACGTCGGAGTTCAGATGTTACTGGTGCTTCGCGTTTAGTTATACAACGCTTGAGGAGTGGTTGTATAGTTATCTATTTTCGATACAGATACTGTTACAAAAGTATCGATGCTACATAACGATTCGAAACGTATCGATACCAAAAATACTCGATATCACAGCAAAAGTATCGATATTTTGGTAGTATCGAAGTATCATTAGTATTCATATTCGTTGCACTTCGTCGTAGAGTTGGGGTCAAAGTGGCGGGATAATAATAATATTATTGCTTATTGTTTCTTAGTGCTCCGTTTTTGACAGATCACGGAGGCATTATAGAAACAAAAAAACAACATTGAAGTCATTGAATTTTATTATTAAAATCAGTGCTCTGTAAAGCACGTGTTTTCCGTATTGCGACCATTTTATGGTTGTCATAATCGCGCTACTGAAAAGATTATTCAAGCCATTAGTGACCAAATTTCGTACCAATTTTGACGTTATTGGATATCAAATCCACTTGTGTGCGTATAGGGTCTGTAGCCGTCAGTATTGCTGAAGATCGTGATTTGTCCATTCATCATCGCTTCCAGCAACTGGGATTGTGTTATTCCGTGGAATATTTTTTCTTGCCTCAAATACACGAGCTGAATCTAGCTAACATATGGTTTCAACAAGAAAGTGCTATATGTCATACACCACTGAATCCAATGAATGTGGTGAGTAATTCATCTATTTGTTTTGGATCAGTGAATTGGCTGCCTAGATACTGCGATTTGACACCGTTGGACTATTTTTTGCACGGGCACGTTAAAATTCTTCTTTATGCCGATAAATTAACATAGATTCAAGCACTACAAGACAACGGCAAGATTCCAGCCGATATGCTCGAAAAAGTAACTCAAAATTGAAGTTCTAATCTTCTAGGTTAAATTGTTTGTGTGTCTGCTGAGATCAAACACCGATTTTGGATAATGACCGAAAAACATTACATACATAACAAACATTACATAACATCTGTTGAAGTATAAGGCGAAGCAAGATTAAAAATCTATTTTATTCTGTCTGGCATATTGTTGTTGATTATGCCATTATAAATCGTACGGACTATATATCTATGAAATGTTTTTTTAAAAACAAAGAAAAATTAATATGTAACCCGCACTGTAATTGTAAAGACGATTTAATTTTTTAAACCGCCTACCCATAGATTGTCATTAAAATTTTCAACAAACTTTTCTAGACAAAAATTCTGTTGGCCTCTAAGCAGTAGTGTACTTAAAAGACGGACAAGCAACTTGGGAACTGATATTAAGTGGCGGCCAGGGTATGTCTGCATACATGTATCAAGCTGAAAAAATTAGTCGCGAGCATCTGTCCTTCAACATATTCGTAAATATTTATTAAAAAAAAACGTTACACGTTAAAATGCTTGTGCGAAAACAATTAAAAACGAAATAAAAAAACTCCACACTCAATAATAGGTCGCCATTCTCTTTTCTCGCATTATGGTAATGCCCGTAAAGGAAACTCTTTTCTTTTTCGTGAGGCAGACGGATTCCGCGTCGAGATTCATTTCCTTCAGCGTTTCTTCTATCGAGATTCTTCCGATATTTATTGAAAAATTATCGATTCCAGTAGGTATCGGTATCGAAAGTTTTTCACACGAAATCATGTAATATACCTAATTACTTATTTTATACTATAAAGTAGGTTCAGTTATGTATTACTCTTTGGCGTTGGCAATACTGCGTTTTGTAATTTTCAGAAACGATTGACTTCGGAGTTCGTATGTCACTTGGGCTTCGTCTTTAGGTATATAACATTATATAAGAAGGAGTGATTGGATAATTATTTATTTTCGATGCTGATATTGTCACAAAACTATCGAAGCTAACTAGGAATTTGAAGAATATTGATACTAAAAATACTCGATATCACAGCAAAAGTATCGACATTTTGGTAGTATGGAAGTATCATTAGCATTCATATTCGTCGTGGTTACAAAGTGGCGGGGTAATAATAACAACAAATATTATTGCCTTAAGTTACGGATCAATTTAGTGGTGATTATTCATTTCATAATTTTAAAGGCTCACTTTAAACAGATAAAATAACTATCTAGTTGTTTGGTTTTATAGTGCTCCGTTTTTGAATTGCTTCGTGCCCTGTGTTGAAGTCAAAGATATTCTTGCATTGCCATTTCATTGTTGTCATAATTTTCCTACTGAGCAGGTTATTCAAGCCATTAGTGATCAAATTTCGCACCAATTTTGATTTTATTAAATATCAAACCCACTGGGATTGTGTTGTCCCACTACGTGGAAAATTGTTGGTTGGTTTATGGTTTAAACTAGATCGTGCGATTTAACATCGTTAGACTATTTTTTGTAGTGACACGTTAAATTTTTTCTTACTATCGATAAACAAACATCGATACAAGCGCTAAAAGACGTATTATGGTTAAGATACCAGCCGATATGCTCGAAATAGAAGTTTAAATTTTATGTGTTAAATTGTTTGTGTATCTGCTGAGATCGAACACCGATTTCGGACAATGGGGTTCCTTTAGTTAAAGATTTGTTGGTTTCCGAAATGGCTTATCTGCTAAAAAATCTTAATATGGAACTGTAAAGACGTTTTAATTTTTTGAACCGCCTACCGATAGATGTCATTAAAAAAGCCATTTTAAACAAACTTTTCTAGCAAAAAATACTTTTCGTATGTCTATATTACATTTATCAAAAGAGAACAAATTAAAAGAAGGAAGTCTACGAGGAAGCTGAAAAAATTAGTCGCGAGCACGAATTTGACATCTGTCTTTCAACCTCCTGGTAGATATTTATTGAAAAAAAAAACGTTACACGTTAAAATGTATGTACGAAAATAATTAAAAAATTTAAAAACGAAATAAAAAACTCCGCACTCAATAATCGGTAGCGATTCTCTTTTCTCGCATTATGGGAATGCCCGTAAAGGAAACCCTTTTCTTTTTCTTGAGGCGGACGGATTCCGCATCGAGATTCATTTGCTTCAGCGTTTCTTCTATCGAGATTCTTCCGTTGGCCCTCGCTAGCGCTTCGGGCGTATACCCGTCCCTATTCCTGCAATTTATATATTTCAGATCGCACAGCAACGCAACCGCTCCCTCGTTCCCGCTCGCCACCGCCCTGTGCAACGCCAAATCTCCATTGAAAGTAACCGCATCGGTGCTGGCATCGTTCTTGAGTAACATTTCGACGGCCGCAAAGTTTGACTTTCGGCCGGCCGCGACGTGAAGCGGCGTGTAATCGTCCACGTCTTTCGCATCGACAACGGCCCCATTCTCGAGCAATAATTTTATCATGTCCGGCATATTTCTTTCTGCCGCCAAATGCAACGCGGTCGATCCCTCAACGTCCGTCGCATTCACGTCGACTTTTAGCGCGAGTAGATCGACGCAGACGTCGCGACGGTTTAATTGGACCGCCGCGTGTAGCAAAGTGGCGTCTTTAGTGTCCGTCGCGTTATAGTCCGCGCCGAATTTCAAGAGTAATTTGAACGTTTCGTACGAAGAGGATTTAATGGAGAGTTGCAGGGGTGTTTCGCCGCATCTCGTCGCCGCGTTCGGGTCAAAGTCGCGGGATAATAAAAGCTCGGCCAGTTTTTCGTTTCCGGTTTCTGCGGCGACGTGTAAAAGTGTCCGGTTAATTTTGTCCCGGCAATGCAAGTCGGCGCCTTCGGCGATGAGATACTTTGTTAGGATCGTGTGCGCGTTCATGGCCGACTTGAACAGAGGCGTTTCGCCTCTGCAATCTTTAGCGTCCAATTTCGCGCCGCTTCGAATTAAAAGTCGCGCGGTTTCAAAATGGCCCCCGCGGCACGCCAGGTGTAAAGCGGTTTCCTTTCTGACGTTTAGGATGTCGCCGAACGCGTTATTTTCGAGAAGTTTTCCGACGGTCTCGGCGTTACCTGAAAATAAAGACGAAAGTTTTTAAGCGGGAAAATTGGTTAAAAGCTCTCCCTGACCTCCCTCGCGGGCTCGGTTAAATTAGCGGCCGCGCCCGAAGTAAATGACGGCTTTAAAACTGGAAGGCACTTAACGGTGTCAAGTTTCGCATTTAATGTGATTTTGGGCGACAAATTTCGACGCGGTTCGTTTAAATGTTTGATTTTTATAAAGCGCTACGTGCAACGATCAAAAATATCCACCCCTTCGTTTGCCAAAACGTAATGATATATATAAAAATACAAAAAAATCAACATATGTTAATGGTTTTCCCTTATTTCAATCAATTCTCCATTTTTTTCACATATTTGAGACCCTCTTCCCAGGTAGCAGAAGGTGGTCAAAATGGCTTCATAAACTAGTCACCAAATGATGAAATATATGAAATATGAAATGACGTTATATATGACGTCAGCAGGACGTGAATTTGACCTACTAATGTCTCAGACGAATGAAGTCATTTAAGTGACGCCTTTTCTAAGTCATTTTTTGTCATTTAAGTGAAACCATTTTTATATCAACTTAATGTCAGATTTTGGTATTTACTACCCAAAATATAACGATTTTTAAATTATCTTCTTCTTTTTTCAGTGGGGATAATCGAAAGTAAATCGCACAGAGACTGCCCCTTTAAATTACAGGGTGCGGCAAAATGATACGTGCTATACGGGTTTCAAAATCTCTTGCGCTTAATTCTTGAACTAGTGAGTTGTATAAAATTCTTCGAATACTTCTATCGGGCATTCCCAAAGCAGCTGCATGCTTACGAGCTGAACGCCTTGGAGACTGTTGTACGGAAACTCTTACTGTAAATGATGAGACTTTGACGAGCCTGTGCTACCTGAGTCTGTGGCAGAATTCTCAACAAATCTACTTGACCTTATTTTTGTACACATTTGTTGGGTATCCTGTAGCCCTGTAAATAATTTTAGGTTATGCACATTATTTACAAGTGCAGGTTTCTAATTTTTTTTCTAGCCCCGTTTCCAAGATATCAATCGCACACTTTAAACATCCTTTAAAAATCCTGTATTCATTATTTATAATTTAGCTGAAAAATTTATTGGAAACATAATTAACATGCCCAGGTTATGGAATTAATTAGCTTATCTTGCTTTACAATTATTTAAAAAATAAGTTGAGTAAAACGTGTTGCTTGATCAGTGATTTTACCTTTTCAATTTAACTCATTATTCATTTTATGAAGGAGATTTCATGTGGTTTTTAACAAATCAAAATTAATTTGGTTGACAGATTATTTTATTTTCAAATAGTTTTGGCGTGGAGTAAATCTTCGAAAAATTTTCCCCATGCGCGATTTTTCCTAGTGTATTCGAAAAATTTTTCGGAAATAATTGAAGTGCTAGGATATTATAAGTACTAATTTATTTTTTTCAGTTTTTTTGGATTTTTTAATATCGCATCTATCCAGTTACCGAGAAATTATTTATTAATTTATATGCAATATATAGAAAACACCTTTGAACTTTAAACAAATGTTAAATCTTACCTTAACTATTATTCCTGTCTTGCCTTTATTTTAGTCAAATCATATCAAGTCAAGTCAAGTAGTCAAGTCATATTACTACTTAGTCAATTATAACAATAACCAATTGATTTGAAAGTTACAATACGCCCCTTGCATGAATGTTAAATTTCCATTTAAATATGATGTCATACGAAAACGCCTTGTGACGTCACGACGCATTAAATGTCACCGGATGGGAATTGTTGAAGCGCTTTTGTTTATTATTTTGAGCAGTATTAATAATAATTTCAATTTTGATTAAAGTTGTGGATGCTTTTATAGTGGCTGAATTTTTTTCAAAGATTGATTTAGGTCAGCAGAACAACGCCGTGTTTAACCTCGAATTCGTTTAAAACTACAAAATTATACAGTGTGTCCCTGGTTAAGTTGACAAGATGCAAAGTCAACAAAAATTTCATTTTTCGGCAAAAATTCACTCTTCGTAAGAAGTTTTGCTTATTTTGAAAACTCTATTGCCATTATTTGTTTTTTTTTATTTTGATTTGATTTTTTGATATTTTGAAAAATTTGCAGAATATTGTATGGGGGTAAGTAAGAGTAATCTTTATTTTTTGTTTGCCAGCAGAATGAAGAATGAAATAAAAGATTGTCCTTTCCTTTTGCTACTTCTGATCTTAAAAAAGGTGTTCAAAAGTATAATCCAATTAAATAAGAAATTTTAGTGACCAGAATTTGATTAATTTACATTTAATGGTATATACAACTTATTTTTTTTAATGATTAATGGAGCGTAGAAAATCATAAAGCATACTAGATTATTTGCAAGTAAGAAATGTTGGAAATAGCTCAAAAAATAATAATATTCAGATTTTTGATACACGTTTATACCAAATTTCGCTAGCTTTTAAGGCAAAATTATGCACAGGTTGCTCTGAAGACATTTTATCAAATAGAAAAATAAGGACTATGTGACTGTATACTATGTCGCTTAGGCAGTTGGCCTTAAAATGAGGAGTAATGATAATGATGGTGAGATTTCTAATAAAACAGCCATCAGTTATTTTTAATAATATAAAACAACACCGATTTAATAATTTTAAATATTATTTTTCTGAACAAAATACTCGGACTATAATAATAAAAAGTTTCATCAGTGAAGCATAACTTACGATATTAATTAATTGTCTAATTACGCCATTGCAAAAAATTTCTTTTTTTTGCTCTTCTTTAGTTCCAAAAAATTTGAAGAAACATATTTAACCAAAACTTGTAAAAATTATACGAAACACAAATATTACTAACTTAAAATTCTCTAAAACCTCAAAATTATTTGTAAATATAAATCACTTACCTTTTTCGGCAATGTAATGCAGCAACGTGTTTCCTTCCTCATCCTGAAAGTCGACAGAAGTCGAGTACAAATCGAAATTGTCGAGAGCGACGTTCAACACACTTAGACAACCGTTCCTTGCCACTTCAAACAAATCAAAACCCATAAACGAAAACTCCGTCGCCATTACTATTTTGCCGGTCACCCATTTGAAGGAAATTCGAAATTGATTTAATAGTCTAAATATATGTGAGTCAAGGAAAACGAAATCAACGCGGACTATTTTTAGAAATTTTGAGTTTTTGTCATTGCTGATAAAAACCAACTATCGATAAGAAACGAAATAAACGTTGTATCTTTGCTTATCGCATCGTGTCTAAAATTTGCGTATTGCGTTGAAATTTGCACCTAGTATTTTTTTTACAATCTTCATTTACAGTGAGCGCCATACTTATAATCCTTTGAAATTCCTCACAATTTTTCTGGATTTTTTTTTTATAGTGTACAGTGTCTATACTTTGGGTTGTAAATGCGTTATTATGTCGCAAATAAAACTTCATTACCTGGCTTTATTTTTGAGATACATGGCGCAACTGAAAATGTACTCTGAGACCATCTCATATCTCAATTATCTTTCAACTAATCGAAAAGGAGAAAGCTGTTCCTTATATAGAATGCCGTTTTGAGAATACGTGGTCAATTTAAGAAGCTGTTACATTGAAATTTTTTTGAACAGCAAAGCCATTCAGGCGTTGTCAGTCACCTTGGAATAGCATATAGTGCAACAAGTGCTGTTAACGACATTTGACTCACAAGTTAAAAATAATAACGGATTATTTGATTACTAAATTTCTTGATATTCAAACAAAATATTCACTAGTTGCCAGTAAACCTATTCGTTTATTGTTCCGATGAGTTCTGCTATTTTCGTCGCTGTCGCAAGAAAAAGCAGGTTCAAACCTTCAATTTTGTTTTGTTTGTACTGATGAGACATGGATATTTGAAAATCGTACATTTGGTGTTGGCAGAATATTAATATAAAAACTGTAAAAACCACTAAAGTTTGTGGGAGCGGTATGTAAAATTTCTCTGGGAAACTTAAATTATAAATATCACTATACTTACCGACTTAAAGCACGTAGTATTTAAATTGTCTGATATATTGCATAACATTTTTCTGTGTATTAGTTTTTGGGTACATTTTTGGGAAACAACATAACATTACCGTCAGAATTGAAAAACATCAAAATTCAAACCGTGCGGTAATATCTCCAAAAATATCCGATTGCTGCACTACAGTTTCCAGAGCCTAAGTTTTACCATAGCTATCTGTAAAGGAGACCGTAAAATAAGCTTATACTCTACAGGCTTAAGGCTAGTTTAAGAAATTTTGGCTAGTGATAATGTAGTGCCTGTCATTCAGATGCCATTTTTGGAGAAGGGTGTTCCCCAGGGGAGTATTCTGGGACCCATTTTGTTCTCAGTTTATAAAGCTGACTTCTCTAATTATCTTAAATTTTGTAAATCTCGTCAATACGCCGATGATACTCAGTTATCTTTTGTTGCTAGTGAAGCTTTAAATGCCGCTACTAAAATAAATTTAGATCTAAAAATAATTGCGGAGGTATCTGCGGCTCACGACCTCTTATTGAATACTAACAAAACGCATATGTTATTATTTGGAAATAAAAAGGAAAATATTGTAAAAAACGCGTCTTTTAAGATTACACTAAGTGATGAGATTATCTCTCCTTCTTCAGACGGGTGTAAAAATTTAGGATTATAGTTTGACGGTGACTTGCGGTTTTCTTAGCATGTTGGATTGGTGTTACAAAAATCCTTTTATGAGTTGAGGACATTGTATATTCATAAACATTTTCTCACTAAAGGAGTCAAACTTAAATTCTGTGATATGTTAGTTTTATCTCATGTACTTAATCGAGATAAGGAGAGACTCCAACGACTTCAGAATGCTTGTATTCGTTTTAGTTACAATCTCAGAAAGTATGACTATATTTCACAGTGCCTCTCTGATTCGGGTTAGCTCAAGCTGGAGGACCGATATAAAGTTCTGTTAACTACTTTTGTTTTTAACTAAACTCCAATAAGACCACGTCGTACTTGTTTGATAAACTTTACAGAGGAAAAATATTCATAATCGAGACACCCGTCATTGTTTAAGATATTGCGTTCCTAGACACACTTAGGTAACTTTCCAGAGATCTTTTAGCTATAACGCAGTTAAATTATTTCATAAAATTCCTTACGATATAACGTCCCTCCCCACAATAAATTCCTCCAAAAAAGCAAAGCAATGTTGTTTATTAGACCCGCCCGTAACTAGCAAAAGCGTATGAGTTTATTATGTGCGTCTATTTCTTCTGTTTGCGATGTATACCAGGGTGTGTATTTTGTTGACAATTATGGTGTTGGTGCTGTTGTTATCGTGGTTACATGGAAGAGCGCAAATTGCGAATGTAGCCAGTCTTGTATTGTTACTTATATTGCAACATTTTGATTATCAATAAAGACAGTTAATTATTATTATTATTATTACTAACTAAGGGGTTCCAACGACATCGAAAAACACAGTTCTAAATCCTGCAAAGTGAGCATTGTGCTAAGCTTACATTCTGTACTTGTACTAGAAACTGAGATATAAGGGGGTTTAAAAATGTATCATTTGCATCTTACAATATGAAGTGAGGTAAGAAAATTATGTCCTTAAAATACCTAATTACACACCCATCTAGCGTGCGGGAATCGTCACTTTACCACGTCAGTTTCGTTTCTCATTGATCCGAGCCACTTCTAACATTTCCGGGATTTTACCGCACGGGTTTAGAGCAATCGGATGTTTTCGGAGATATTTTCCTCGCCTTGAATTTTAATGTTCGTGTTGTTTTGCAAAAATGTTCTCAAAAACTAGCGGTCATCGAAAAAGTATAATATGCAACACGTTCGGTAAACTTTTTAAGCCAGTCATTTATTATTAAACACTCGCTCCGCTCGTGTCAAATAAACTCGTGAGTCAAATGCCGTTTACCGCACTTGTTGCGTAATACACTATTACGGCATAATAAGAAACCCGAATCGTTCCATCTGCTAATAATGCAGATTCTTTGCATTTTCAGCTAACATTGGACAGACTATAATTCCTCTGAGGCTTATCCCTTTTCAATGTGTATTGTAAATTTGGTCAGTTTTAGTCGTTCGAGTGCTTGTCCACATTTTTGGGTAGATCTTTGAGGCACTATGAAAAATTGTAAAGCACTACTTTGCAACATAATATAAATATTTAATTACGAAAAGATTTTGTCCAGAAAATTGTTTCCAAGGCATTTTGAAATATGGTTTTAAAAAGTTTAAAGAGTGAGATAATAAATTTGCCCGATTATTTAGGTCGGGTCTAAAACTTTATCAGACTTGGAATTATATTTTATGAAAATTATAAAATACATTCACACGGAAATGTTTCGACAGTAGAAGTTTTGGAGTAGTCATTCTTCTTCGGTGCGGTGTATGATATAGTATCTACGTCATTGTGTGTTGTACGTTAAAAAACAATGAAGTTGTGATTACATTTATTGAAAATAATTTGAAAAAGTCATATGTGTTCGAAAATAGCAAAAAATTGAATTTCATAAGTCACAGGTTTGATAAAAAAATATTTTATTTGTCGTCCTATATTCACAAAGATAGCTAAGTCCATTTAAAAAAAAAGTTAATGATGGTGGCATGCAAAAGAGTTTCCGGATTTCAAATTTAATATATCCATATTGTAGAGGAGAAAATGTTTAAGAAAACTAGATGAAAGTTTTACAAAGTTTTCATAGTGCCTTAAATACCTACCCTAAAATGTCTAAGAACTCTCCTATTATAGGCGAACATCCCGCACAACGTTAGCAAGTTTAAACACTCTATATTATAGAGCCCCTTTGTTCACAGACCGTGCGATCGTAACGTGAAAGACGTCGAGTTAATCTGTGCGCGACTCCGTCGTGTCGACCAGCTGTGTCGACTTCCAAACTCTGTTCTGCAACAATTGGCATTATGCGGCTACTACGAGGACCTGGAGAGTGGAGTTACCCGTAAGTATAACGGTTTAAAGAGTCCCATTCGAGCGTAAGAGATAACGTCGTATTTCTGCGTGAATATTTTAAATGAAGACTTTGGTGCAAATATCGGTATCGCAGGGGGCGCGTGAGCTCCAATTTATATTGGTCGGTAAAAATTGAATTAAAAAAAAATGAAAATCTCAGTGGGAATAAGAGAGAGAACAAAAGAGAGAGAAAGGGAGAACGAGAAAGAAACACAGAGACAAAGAGAGTGAGAAATAAAAAGAGAGAGAAAGAAAAAGAGAGAGAGAATTGATGTGAACTATAACTAATATTAAATTAACCAAATTTTTTTTGGCTTATTTCCGTTTTTCTTTTATTTATTGATTGATTCATTAAGGATATAGCATATTATATCACAAATACAAAATGAATTCTTCGCCTATTACGGAATTGCCAAAATTACGAAAACACTATAAAGGGTTGGACCGTAAGAAGCTGGCATCTATCCGACCAGCAGTCGAAATGTTTGAACGAAAAAAGCAAAAAAAGAGACCGGAGAAACGCTTCTACATAATGGACTTTTGGATAGGTAAGGCCTTTCTGGTAAATAAATGGAAATGTTGATTGTTTCCTTAGCGGCAAGAGGGATGATGTTATAAATTACGGAGTCGCCGGTTTGAAATTCTCTTTTCAAAATAAATTTTGCCCCCGCCAAGGGGTAAAGCGTTGGAAACAATTCGGCTATTTATTAGTCGGAATATTTTAGCCATTAATTATTGCGTTTTATTGCTGACATTCTGTTTGCGGTGCACTTTAATTTCGTCGTATCTATTTGTAGCGGTTCGTTTCACACTTCCGAATAATTAGAAGCATTATTGCAAATTTTGGGGTCGTTTCGGTTACACATTCGTAGCGTTATTCGTTATTTCCAAAAGCCACCGACATGTACCCCAGATAAATGTACACTCCTTACTGATTTAGGGGGGTTTAACATAAAAATTTTTCCTTCTAGATTTTTTAATTTATAATTGTTTGTGTTTAAATAGAACACCCTGTATATTATTGAATTTTTGGATTTCACGGGTAATTATAGAAATATTTATTGTATAATGCCCATAGTTTTTTTTTATGTAAATAGCCAAGTGATAATTAAATTTATTTTATTAATTTTTATGTCAAAGATGATGTTAGCAGGCCTGAAAATTATTAACAATTTAAAAGTTAACATTGTGTTATAACATTATTAGCATAGGAAAATGTTAAATTGTTCAACAACCTTTTACAAAGTTACATTAACCTTTCAAAAAAACTTCCACAGACTACTGTAATACTATTTACAAAACTTCTGGATTCCCCTGCGTCGATTGTTGATAAATCGAACGTGCTGACGTTCGCTAATATATTGTTTGAGGGGGGCGGAGCTAAAGGTTAAGATTGTTTGGTCTGGTTTCTTATAGCCTTCCCATCTAAAACTACAAAATAATGGAAACGCTACATTGATGATACTTTTGTAATTAGGTCTCATTGTCTCTACGAGATTTTCTTCTAACATACATAACAATAATCAACAACAACCTCCCATTCTTAAATACGCTTATCAATAAAGAATCAGACCTAGCATTTTTACAGAAAACCTACACACAGATCTTGCAATGTCACATCACAATCCCTCCCAAAAATCATCGCTGTCATTGCCATAAAACTATCTCAACTCGAGTCATTGAATCCGCAATTAAAACACCTTACATCTGCTCTTCTCTCTAATAGTTTCCACATTAGAGATATTGAGCGTTTCATCACAAAATACACTTCACCACAATGTTCCAAAAACAATGAGTCCGAAAGCAATCCGACATTTGCCACTGTTGCCCTTCCCTTCATTCAAAACAAGTGCTTAAGAAGTATGACGTCAAAACTAGATTTACCACTTGCCCAAAAATCTTCGATCCGTCAAAGACAAAATTCCGTTTGAGATGTCAGAAAAATATCAACTAGGCTCAAGGAACATGAAAGAGCCACCACGACTGATAAACTCATCAACAATTGTCGAACACAGTCACGAGACAGGACAGCAAATTTTATTCGATAAAACTAAAATTCTTGTACGTAATCAATTCTACTACCAACGAAAAATCCGAGAATCTATAGAAACCTATAAGTAACCAAACAATCTTAAACCCCACTTAAATGTTTACTTTTCACCAATGTCGAAATCAGTCATCAGAGACAATGTTGATGCTCCTTCTTTAGCTCCGCCCCCTCAAACAACACATAAGCACGTACAGAGTTAAGTTAAGTTAAGCTCTGAGGAAGCTAGCAGGATGATTGTCGAACCGTCAGCAAGTTCGATTCGATTAAAGTTTTACAAAAAGTACTTTAATTTTAGTGCCAAATCAAATAAAATTATAAAAATGGTGAGTTTCCCTTGAAGAAATTGACTCTTTTTCTTTTTTATTATTTAATTTTTGTACTTCCTTTTTGCTAACCCAAGTATCCAATCACTATATGACAAATATATACAAATAATTAGTTTTCCTTTATATGAAAAATTGCTAATTATTTTAGGATCTGCAAACGGCCAGACTTAGGTATAGGACAGTATACATGGCATAATACAAAAAAAAAACAAAATTTGTATTTACCGCGAAAATGGAACACATATGTACATAAAAAAAAAATCTCCAGATGAAACTGCAACTTTTCTGTTTAACTTTTTTCTCTATCGTTTGCGGTTTCTGAATTTAGGGGGCAAGGAACCTTATTTCGGACACCCTGTACACCCTACTAGATTATACTCAATAAGCGTTTCTTGTTCCTGCCCGGGGCATAGAATGACGGCAGCTGTTTGCTGGATTCTTCACAAATTCTACGCCACTGGCGTAGTACAATAAAATACTCTTTGTGTATAACGGTAAAAATGTTATATGTCGGAATTCTCGAGCCGTTTTATGCAAATCAAAATTTGATCCGTATCATCAAAGAAGCATATTGTAATTTATTTTTATCATAATATATATAAAAGAACAATTTCATATATGCAATGCAATATGTATATTTTGAGCGTTTTCATCGGCCGCCAGAATCATAAACCACATTTGTCAGTTGAACATTAAATAGTCACGAACTAAAAGTAAGTTGGTGGAAAATTTTGAAACACACAACCATAGGAAACAGCAGGCAAGGTGCCATAAATTGAAACAGGGCTTATATGTAGGAAAATTTTAATAATTAATATTAGACTAATTTCGACAACAGAATACATGGATGCGTATCATCTACCCGAGACCGTTGTGAGTCGGAAATTAATGAGTTTTGAGTATGTCGGGACTGCCCTCGGGCAGCCAACTATCATAGGTCAGCAAGCGACACACGGGAGGTCGAACATTGTAATAGTGAGTCAAATCGTTATCAAGATATGCCGGGGGACTAATAAAGACGGAGTTCCCGAACACTCATTCCGTTTCGCGCTACGACGATTTATGTACCAAAGAACTTTCTATTCCTTCCCATTGTAAAAACAACATAGAAAAAGGAGTGCTAAAACTGAGAATAACCGGCCATTTCGTCGGATAACAGATCTGACAATTTTGATACTTTTAGTGGCTCCTATAAAAATTTTTGTTAGATCTTATCCCCGCACACACACAACCATCTCAAAATGAAATTCTGTAAAACCTGATTTAAGGAGTTAAACGACATAGTTGGTTTGAACTATACTCTTCCAAAAGTTTACTCGACTAGAAGGTTCAATCAATACCCAACGAAGCAGACAGATACAATAGAGAAAATGTTCTCCCAGCCATGAATTTTTAGGGCACGCTAAACTTAACCTGAACGATTATTAATAAACGAATTTTTACAACGTTTAGCATTAAACAAAATGGATTTATAATACAAATAACATCAGCTTTGGATAATTTATGGAAGTACACTGTTTTTCGCCTTTTTTGTGTCTATGTAAATATGACATATTAGCGTCGTCCGATAGAGGAAGGATCAAAATATATGCGATTCCAATTTTTAACCCGTTGTTTTATCAGGAAAGGAACTATTCAATTTCAAAAGTGATTTTCTATGCCGATTTTTGTTGTGGTGTACGATTTCAAATATCTATTTAATTGCGAAAATATCGATAATATTTATCTTTTCTTTTAAAGAAACTTCCACAGAATACTGTAATACTTTTTATAAAACTTTTGGATTCCTGCTTCGATTTACCATTGAAATAGAAACTAATAACAACCTCGCACTCTATTGTTTACAGAGCTGTAAAACTACATCAGCCCGAGTCACTGAACCCAGAATTAAAACACCCTACCTCTGATCTTCTCTCTAATAATTTTCACATTAAAGATATTAAACGTTCCATCACAAAATACACTTTACCATAAGCTGCCGATAGCAATCACACCGAAAGCAATCCCACACTTGCCACTGCTGTCCTTCCTCATACTCAAAACATCACTGACCACATATCAAAAATTCTAAACAAATGTAACGTCAAAACCAGATTTCCCACTTGTCCCAAAATCTCCCAACATCTTCGATCCGTCAAGGACAAAATTTAATTTGAGATGCCAGAAGTTTACAGCATTCCATGCATATGCGGCAAAGAATACATTGGAGAGACCGGACGAAAAATATCAACTAGGCTCAAAGAACATGAAAGAGCCTTAAGACTAAAACAAGTAGTCTCATCAGCAGTTGCCGAACACAATCACGAAATCGGACACAAAATTTTAGTGGATAAATCTAAAATTTTTGCATGTAATCAATTATTCTACCAACGGAAAATCCGAGAGTCTATAGAAATCTATAAGCAACTTAATATTCTTAACCGCGACTGAGAACTCTACCTGTCACCAATATGGGAATCAGTCATTGGAGACGGTGTTTACGCCCTCATTTAACGCCGCACCTCTCAGACAATATAAAAGCAGGTACAGAGTAAAATACGAGCCAGTTTCAGCCAAGCTTTGAAGAAGCCAAGAGGATAATTGGCGAAACGTTAGTTAGTTCGAGTCAACAAA